GCGTCTCGTTGTGTGTTGGCACGTACACGTGCTGTGCGTGCGCGCGTGTGAGGTTCACGTTTGTGCGTTGCGTGCGTGCGTGCGTGTGCAGGTACAGTGTGTGCATGTATGCGTGCGTCGTTTCGTGTGTGTGTGGTAACGTTGAAGAGTGCTGTGGTGCATGCATGTGAGTAGACGTGCTGTGGTGAGTGGTGCGGTGCCGTGCTGTGGCGTGCCGAAACGTCACGTTGCGTGCTATGCGCAGTCCGTGCGTGCATGCGGTGCGTGCATGGATGGAGCTGTTTGTGCACGTAACGTGCGTTGGTGCGTGGATCAGCACCCAACGTGGGTTACGTACAAAGTACCCTGTGCGAGTTCGCTGTGTATGACTTCACGCATCTGCTTGCTCACCGTAATATGGATAAACAGAATATACAGAACAAGAATTATTAAAAAACAGACGGGATTCCCGATCCAACGCTTTCAGCAGTGTCGTCTCTGTCTATGCGTTTCAGTTATCGACGGCATTGGGGTTTTTGTGTTATGGATGTGCTTGTAACTGGGGCGTCTTGGAGGAGTTTGAGGCACGTAGATTTGGTTATCAGCCATGGGATTTCGAGGGCATCGTACCGAGTAATCGTTGAGTGACTGTAGGTGGGGTTGTCTTTGGGTATTTAGGGTTATTTCAGTTTTATTTAGTTTTTCGTGCGCCCTACGTCGGTTATAAAGTAGGAAAACGTTAGGTATTGTGGTGAGAAGTAATGGTAGGTAAGGTATGTGTTAGGTTAGGTAGTTGGTAATTGTAAGTTTAATATGATTATAAAGGGAGAGATTATAATGATATATAAAATATATATATTATTAAATTATAGGTCATATCTTATCTATATTGAAGTTGTATGTATGTTATGTATGTATGTTATCTGTACCCTATGGCCGGCAAACCGCACAAGCGATCTGGATGCTTTTTCAGGGAGGGCGATATTTCCTCATTTTACCGGGGAGTGTTCTAGACGACCCAAACGTGAAGACTCAACGAATATCGTGAATTTCCGTGATTCGTTGAACTCATTGCATCCGTGAACAGTGTTCAGCTCACTTTCAGTGCTGTCCACACACACAAAATCGATGAGTAATTATTTTCAACCACTGTGGTCGAGTACTTTGTATTCTTTTCTTGTAATTTTTTATGGATATTATAATCTTGATCAAGCAGATTATTCATAATTTACTCTGCATTTTCTTAAACTATATAATATATGTAAATTGTATTGTTAATAACAACAATACATTTGTTGGAAATCTTTTAGTTAACAATGACTAAGGTCTATTTATATTATGTCGGTTACTGTAACGGGTTAATCTGAGTTTCTGAATAGTTACTAAATTGTCTAATAAAATAGTCGTAATATAAGATTATAAAAAATGTTTGTCGAGTTTTACACTCGTGCAGGTGCCGAGAGGGGTTTCTAGCGATCGGTGCCGTTTTCAGGGTTTGCTGGGCTGGTTTATCGGGCGTGGGGTGGGGTGTTAGAGTCTGATAGATTGTGCAGGAGGTTTTCAGCGATTTGTAAGCGAATGTTTGGGCGTTTCTGATCATTGGGTACTCTTGGTGAAATTGTATACTTGTGGTGTGGGGTTACGTTATTGAAAGTTGAAAGTACCATATTTAGATTTAGTCTGAAACTTTTCTTCAATGGAAGTTGTTGAGCCTTCGTTCCTTTTGTTGGTATTGTAGCTTGTAAGATGCGGCATCGCATCTAAAGATGTTCCACACATGCGTTCTCGTGAACGTTTGTGGGTACTGTAGACATGCATAAATGATTTTGTTTGATTGTTAGGAAACGAATTGCTGTTCAAGACTGCAATTATGTCTTCAGTCTTTAATCTCCAACGCAGTATTTCAATAATGGTCAGGTTGGTCAAGACATACAATTAACAGTATACCTATTGGGCATTGTTGGCGGAACGAATATATAGAGTGAAATACAGTTGCACATCAATTGCTGGTATCTGGTAAATATCGTAATTTGTGCTGGAATTAATTAGTCAGGTGGTCCGTTGGACTTTCTGAGCCGAAGGCAGAATGACTGTCATGTAAATCATGATTCACAGTCCATATGTATCAGTATTTTGTCTGTCGACTGGCACACCTTCACGTCCAGATAGTGACTAGGGTCTAGGATCAGGACTTGGATTTAGTTATGTGTGTGCAGACGGGCATCGGTGAGAGCAGACCTCCGCCAGGCAGCTCATTTGATGTTGACTGCTTAAAAATTATTTAATTAGATTAATTAATTTAATTTTAATTGGTATTCCGGATCACCAAATTGTATCGATTTCTAAGTTACCCATTTCTGACCTATCCTGAAAATTTTATTAATTAATTATTATTAATTATTTTGGATCCGGATACACAAATGTATCAATTCTAAGTTTGTCCATTTTTCTGACTAAGCTAAAATTTTCATTAATTTATTAATTAATTAATTAATTGGACGGTTCACCACCAAACAAAATCAGTTTTCGAGTTAGCCATTTCTGACCTATCCTGGAAATTGGATATGACATTCCGTCATACATTTTCAGTTAGGTGTCACAACAAACCAAACGCACAAACCACAAACAACAAAAACGCCGGTGAATATTAACTCCTGCCAACCACTTTGGGAGAGGTATAAAATATGTAAGAGCCGACAGGTTTTTTGCGCAATTTGCAGATTGGTTGCCCAAAACTGGACGAATGCGCTGATTCTAGTTTGTGACAAGATTCCAAGTTTTGGGTACAACAGCATAAGAATAAGACAATAATAAGATTCATGTTGTTGTGCCAGGTGTGTGCGGTGGTACTTGTGTGTTTGTAGTGAGATTTGACGGCTTTAAGGTGCTTATCGGCTAATAATAGCGAAAATAGAGTAGTAGAAATTAGACTTTGGGTTAGAAATATTTCGTGTTTATTTACCTTGTTTTTTTTTTGAGACGTTTCAGTTACCTGTGATTACAGCAATTCTGTACTAGTACCCTACCTGATGACAGGTTCTGATGAATTATACCTGCACTTTATGGCTGGATTTGGAATATATATATATATATATAATATTATTATTATTATTATTTATTATATTTATATTCTGATTCAGCTATTATATAATATAATATATATATTAGCAAAGACTTGAAGACTGTATGTTACTTAATCTAATTAATACTAATAATTATAAATTTAAGTTATCTAATTAAAATCTAAATACGCTGCTGGCTAATATATATTATACGTGCTTATTTTCTCTAAATCGCGATCGCACGAGCCGCATACGCACGGCGACCACACACACGCGCGCCGCGCGCGCATTACCAATTGCTTTTCGCACGCAAAGCCTCAACATCCAGGCGCGATCAAGCGCGAAGACGTGATACGGCATACGTTCACACACATGTGCGCGCAGCACGCGCAACACAACCAAATGTGCTTTTTTAAGTTAACCGTTAAGGTTAATTATTATGTCCGGAGAATGGCACACGAAATTTTCTTGAATAAATACGTTACTTTTCAATGCTGTATTAACTAATCACAGGTTTTGCTTATGTAATTAACCGAAAATTTACCCATGAAATTTATTTTCCTACTTCTCGTGCATATTTGGATGAGCAATTATCAGGGTAATGCATTCTGACGTGAGTGGTGAGTGAGTGAGTGTGGTGTGGCGCGTCTGATTGGCGGCGAGGGAGATGTGATGCTTGTGTGTGGGCTAGGATAGAAGTGAGTGGTGATGGATGCTACGAGAAGTGAACATGCGGATGGCGATGGTGGTGGGAGGTTGAGTTTGATTCTGGGAGTCGGTAGCGGTAGGTGCGGGAGTGGGCCTGGCGACTGTGCGGTGTGGTTGATTACATGGGTGGTGTGAGGAAGTTAGTTGGGGGTGAGAAAACACCGGGAGTTGTCCCCACTAGGGCTGAGCGGGCTGGGAGATGACGATGATAGACGTATGCATGGTGCGGGCGGGCGCTGATGGGAGGGCTGTTGAGGGTGAGTGAATTGAGATGCGGCGGTGTCTGGAGGCTGGAGTGCAAGTGGTCGTGAGAGGAGGTGGATGAGTCGTCGAGGGGGTGATCGGCGAGGTTAATGAACTGGGGATCTGGGTGGCAGTGTGATGAGGGGCTGTGGCGTCCATGTCCATTTGCTGCCCAATGTTGCGCGAGGAGGGATTGACTGGGGATCATCGTATCTGTATGTCTGAAACTTTGTGGGAGGGTCAGGGAGCTGTATGAGTGAGTGAGTGAAGTGATGAGTGATGTGTGTGAGTGAGATGAGTGACGTGGCTGGTGTTGAGTGAGGTAGAGTGAGTGAGGGTTGAGTGAGGTAGAGTTGAGTGAGGTGGTGAGTGGGTGAGTGATGTGACGTGCGTGAGTGAAGTGATGTGAGTGAGTGAGTGAAGTGAGTGAGTGATGGCGTATTGTCGATAATCATGCGACAATTTTTAGTTTATTTGTCATTATGTCTACCGAAGTTTAATTCAACTGACCAATGACGAGAACTGCTAGCAAAAATTATAACATAATAATAATTATAATAACATACATTATAAGTGATTGTATAATTAAGTATATTGGGAGCAGGTGTACATGTGCTTCATAAACAAACTCATTGATTGGTGATTGGTTGATTGAGTCAGTGCGTGAGTGAGTGAGTGAGTGAGTGAGTGAGTGAGTGAGTGAGTGAGTGAGTGAGTGAGTGAGTGAGTGAGTGAGTGAGTGAGTGAGTGAGTGAGTGAGTGAGTAAGTGAGTGAGTGAGTGATTGAGTGAGTGAGTGAGTGAGTGAGTGAGTGAGTGAGTGAGTGAGTAAGTGAGTGAGTGAGTGATTGAGTGAGTGAGTGATATTGAACGCTCTCGCACGTCGCAAAGCATCATTTGATCTCTTTTCCCCCGACCTTCCCACACTAGATCTTACCGTTCTCTCGCAGTGAAAGTCATGCTACGTGCGCAGCGTATTGATTACCCATTGAATGCATTACATACAAACTGCTTTGTATCGATATCAGGTATATTAGTAAATCAGCCAGCATATCGGATTCTTACACATTTTAGTTACTGTGACAACGGGTGGACAGTTCCGTGATATCATGTGGCAACCAGGAAATAACACAACAACAGATCTAACGGGTGACAACTATCCAGTTTACTAACTCAGAACGACGTGACGTGCTAAATGTCTCTGACACTAATAATACACCTAGCTGTGCCGCCTGGTCATTTAACAGAATACACGCTTCGCGCTGGTACACGTATCTCTCCGCACCGTACACCATTAACTCAACTGACACACTCACATTTCAGCGAATTTGTGCCACGTATCTAAAACCACCACTCGTTACCCTCCAAAAACAGATACCGTAAGCTATAGAGCGGTTGCCCACGCTGAAATTATTCACATCTATGCGCTGACATACCGCATGCATTACGTATGTAGTGAGTCTCTCTCCACTTACTCGCACAAAAATACTACATAAAAACTACTCAAAAATATAGGTACTATACTCTATATTGATTTCTTATTACTTGATCTGTTTTGTTGCATAATATCTAAGTATTACTACGCAGCTAGGAATATATATATATAGTATAAAGCCGATGCAATACGATATATGATATAGCCACTAAGGTGTTTCCGTAATTTAGATCAAACCGGAAAGTAGGGGATTCAGAGCAGCCAGATCGCCCGACAGCGTGAGCGTGGCAAGCGCCGTCCAACTACCGCTGTAGTAATCGCTGATGCTCTGCGAGTCGACCTTCGTAGCTGCGAGGTCGAGCACGCGCTGCTGGTCGGCCGCTTCTCCGCCGACGAGCGGCGGCAGCAGCGACGAAAACATTGGCCCGAACATGAAGGCGTTGTCCAGCCAGCCGGAGTGGATCGACGTGACGAAGCATCCCGTGTCCAGGTTGCCGACGCAGTGCGTGGAGAGGCAGCTGCTGTTGGTCGTCTTCATCTTTGATATGACCTGGTTGGCGACGCGCGCCGAGTAGGTGGCGGCACCGACGCCCTGCGTAGCTTCCTCCAAGAACCAGAAGACATCGAGAGCGACTCGCCAAATGCCGCGCGAAGCCTCGGAGCCGAACTCGGCCGCCGGTGTTCCACTTCCGGAGCAGGCAGTGGCGCCACCGCTAGATGGGTCGGACTGAGACGGAACGAACCAGTTAGTCGTCAGTCCGGTCGAAGAACACTGATTGGCTTCTAAGACGAGGTAGACGTTGTTGATGAGGTCGTTCCACTTGGTGCTGTAATCGAGTCCTTCGCTTGTCGTGGCGTATGTGCTGGCGTACTTCAACATGTAATCTCTGAACACGCGGTAGTGCGCCGGTGCGTAGTAGGACGGATTCGCGCAGTCCCAACCTCCCCAGCAGCTACCAAGTCGCATAATCCTCTTCGTTCCGGACAAATCTAGTATCGTGTTGAAATCCATGAAAGCCTTGCAGCTCTGGTAAGCCCAGCTTGCGATCTCGTTCCACCACGAACGTACCTCACCGGCAGATGTCTCCACCATGATGATCATTCCCAATATAGCGTCCGCGTCCCCGTCCGCCGCCGCACCGGTGCCAAGCGCTCCCGCGATATTGTCGTCGAACTTCCAGTTGGGCAGGCAGGGGTTACCCTCGCAGATGTAGCCACCACCCTGGCAACTACTCTGGTCCGTCAGCTCGCACATTCTCTTCCAGCCGCGGAATATCTCGAAGGCGTAACTGAGCGCCGTATCGCGTTCGCCAGCCGACGTCGTGGCAGCGACGGAGGCGGCGATGAAAAGTCCGTACCCTTGACCCTCGGAGACGACCCCGCCGGCAGCGCCACCGCTACTGTGGACGGCTCGGGCGCTAGAGGCGCTGTCGACGATCGTAGTGAGGGTGTTACTGAATTCGATCATGCGACTGAAGCTCGACTGGAGGCTTACGGTCGGAAGCAGGATACCGCTGCCGGGCGACGTTGTACTCGACGCCTGCGGTGTCGTTTCCGGTGTTGTTTGCGATGTCGTTTGTGGTGTGGTTTGCGGCGTCGTTTGCGGTGTGGTTTGCAGCGTCGTTTGCGGCGTCGTTTGCGGCGTCGTTTGCGGCGTCGTTTGCGGTGTGGTTTGCGGCGTCGTTTGCGGCGTCGTTTGCGGTGTGGTTTGCGGCGTCGTTTGCGGCGTCGTTTGCGGCGTCGTTTGCGGTGTGGTTTGCGGCGTCGTTTGCGGCGTCGTTTTCGGCGTCGTTTGCGGTGTGGTTTGCGGTGTGGTTTGCGAAGTCGTTGGCGACGGTGTGCTTGGTGCGCTCCCCTCGCAGCTTACCTGTGGGATCTCGCTCACACCCCTGACGTTGAAGCCCCAGAGATTCGTCGAGTACGATGCCAGCTTTACGGTGTACGTCTTGCCATTCTGATCGATCAATATCGCGTTCCATATCTCGTCCGAAACGGTGGCGTAGTCGCTCGTGAACGTGAAGCTCTCGACGGCGTTGGGAGTCCAGGGGTCCGTGTTAACCTGGACCGTACAGCCTGTACTCCAGCAGTTACTCTGAACCGAGCAGCCGGCGTTGACTGCTGTCAGCAACGAGCCAGCCAGCATTAGAAAGCAAAGAACCGATCTTGCCATTATTACCTACAACCGAGAACAAACGCAAACACATTAATGTACATTTTCATTCGTGATCATGCACGAAGAAACGGTAAAATTCTTAAATTATATTTTTATATATTGTAAGCGTGCTTATACGTCTTACACTAAAGTGCGTAAAAAATGTTAACACTTAATAATTACAAGAACACAAGAGAAGACAGTGCTACGAAAGATAGATTTATTACAAGGAAATTCTGTAACAATAGGTTAACACGATAGTACAGTAGGTGCCAAGACAAGCTAGCGCGAGTGAATACTCTTACAACAGATGTGAAGAAATTCCACGTTAAGAAATATAAGAATTAATCTTCGAGAAGAGATAGATACAAGATTAGAAAGTAGCAAAGTAAATCAAGACAGAGTAGCAAAACCCTAAGCCAACAGCTTAAGAAGAACTTACGTACAGAAGACTTCAACGAACGATGCACGAACACGCAGGCACAGGACTAAACTCTAGACGTTTCGCGTTCCTTTATATAAGCGCTTAATTTACCTATTCGAATCGGCTGGCCGAGAGAGAACCTAGCAGATCCTACCCGTTTATAGAACAGAACTCTAAATAAACAGCCTGACGATGTCGGTAATTAATATGTCTACGCAGTAGCGCAGATAGTGTGAATCCGCTGCAGGCCGCACGGTGTTTCACACATCTCGATCGGCGTGTCCAATTTTAGCAAGGGAATGGTAGCACCTGAACCCATCTCTAAGGCAGACAGAGCGACCTCGAGCTCAGCTGCACGAATCGTGTGAAGAAATCGTGTACGCTCTAGTCTTGCTACCACATGCATAAACAATAACAACATTAGCTGTTGTGTTTCATGCGCAAAGACCCTGGACGTGGAAGACTCGTGTTTCACACAGCTCCATTAAGCCTGCTTTTGCTGCCCAAGCTATAGTTATTATAAGAATAATCTGCTGGCAATGTAATTTTAAATAGGAGTTTGCATTCTTAAAACTTATGTAAACTACCTGTTTACAATATATTTATTACGTCAGTGATACCTTATTTATAGAAAACTCCACAGAGGTGCTTCACTTGTGACCGTGTAATATAGTGGTCGTCTAGGCTATGTTGTGATCACTCTTAGAACAGCAAACTTTCCCTAGGAACTAGGTATTGATTCCTATAACCCAGTTTTTGGCTTTTATAGTGTTCGGTATGTTTGTCGTAGCGGCCAATGTGTGTTTTTCGTGGCTGTTGTAAGATCCTGTTTATAAGGTAAGGCCGACCTTGTGTTTGGATTGTTGACGATCACATTACCTGTTATATTCGCTCGTTACTGCGAATATAAGCGCCTGACAGCTCAAACATATAGTGGTTGGGTCAATATTATTCAGGCTATCCCTAAACGGATCTAATACTTGGAGGATCGGTTACTCGCAGCCCGTACTATTATTCCCGAAAACAACTCGTGACAACGAAGGCTTGAGGGTGATGGAAAGAAGTGGCAATGGAACCTGATGCCTTGACGTGTTAGCCAACATCCGATTAACGAGTCAAACATCGTAATATAATTAAGGTTTAGCACCTGGCCATATTTAGGTATTAGGTGGATTTGTCTGCATTTAGCACATGGTTGCAATATTAGGATTATTGGGATGAGAAATTTAATTATTGTTTTCTTTATAAGGTAGAATTATGGCGCACTAAACAGGACGGTTTACAATACCGCGATACTGATCAGGAATGAGTAGTGGCAGTACATTTACTCGGGTGTATCATTGTGCACAACACTCGGCACTTAGCAATGGTACGGTGCTTCCGCTATGACCGTATCTATGATCCGAAATATACTTAATGACAATACATACATACATACATACATACATACATACATGCATGCACGCACGCACGCACGCACGCACGCACGCACGGTACGGTGCTTCCGCTATGACCGTATCTATGATCCGAAATATACTTAATGACAATACATACATACATACATACATACATACATACATACATACATACATACATACATACATACATACATACATAC